TTTAATCAAATAAATATACCAAATAAACCGGCGACTCCCAATTTAATCGACTCCAGCCGCGAGCGACTTTGCGACCGGTGTCCACTAACCGGTTTCCACTAACCGGTTTCCATTAGCTGGTTTCCACTAACTGGTGTCAGACGTAATACATCCGGTTCTGTGACGTAGTAACTACATTATCAGTAGCGTAGTAACTACATTATCAGTGGTGTAGTAACTACATCATCAGTGGCGTAGTAACTACATTATCAGTGGTGTAGTAACTACATTATCAGTGGTGTAGTAACTACATTATCAGTGGTGTAGTAACTACATTATCAATGGTATAGTAACTACATTATCAGTGGTGTAGTAACTACATTATCAGTGGTGTAGTGACTACATTATCAGTGGCATAGTTACTACATTATCAGTGGCGTAGTAACTACATTATCAGTGGCGTAGTAACTACATTATCAGTGGCATAGTAACTACATTATCAGTGGCGTAGTAACTACATTATCAGTGGTGTAGTGACTACATTATCAGTGGGATAGTAACTACATTATCAGTGGCGTAGTAACTACATAATCAGTTACGTAGTGACTACATTATCAGTGACGTAGTAACTACATTATCAGTGGTGTAGTAACTACATTATCAGTGGCATAATAACTACATTATCAGTGGTGTAGTAACTACATTATCAGTGGAGTAGTAACTACATCATCAATGGCGTAGTCACTCCATTATCTGTAGTGTAGTGACTACATTATCAGTGGTGTTGTGACTACATTATCAGTGGTGTAGTGACTACATTATCAGTGGCGTAGTAACTACATTATCAGTGGCGTAGTAACTACATTATCAGTGGCGTAGTAACTACATTATCAGTGACGTAGTAACTACATTATCAGTGGCGTAGTAACTACATTTTCAGTGGCGTAGTGACTACATTATCAGTTACGTAGTGACTACATTATCAGTGACGTAGTGACTACATTGTCAGTGACGTAGTGACTACATTATCAGTGACATAGTAACTACATTATCAGTGGCATAGTAACTACATTGCCAGTGATGTAGTATCTACATTATCAGTGACGTAGTATCTACATTATCAGTGACGTAGTGACTACATTGTCACTGACATAGTAACTACATTATCAGTGACGTAGTAACTACATTATCAGTGACGTAGTGACTACATTATCAGTGACGTAGTGACTACATTATCAGTGACGTGGTGACTACATTGTCAGTGACATAGTGACTACATTATCAGTGACGTAGTAACTACATTATCAGTGACGTAGTATCTACATTATCAGTGGCATAGTAACGACATTGTCAGTGACGTAGTATCTACATTATCAGTGACGTAGTATCTACATTTATCAGTGACGTAGTGACTACATTGTCAGTGACGTAGTGACTACATTATCAGTGACGTAGTAACTACATTATCAGTGGCATAGTGACTACATTGTCAGTGACGTAGTGACTACATTATCAGTGACATAGTAACTACATTATCAGTGACATAGTAACTACATTGTCAGTGACGTAGTATCTACATTATCAGTGACGTAGTGACTACATTGTCAGTGACGTAGTATCTACATTATCAGTGACGTAGTATCTACATTATCAGTGACGTAGTGACTACATTGTCAGTGACGTAGTGACTACATTATCAGTGACGTAGTAACTACATTATCAGTGACGTAGTGACTACATTATCAGTGACGTAGTATCTACATTATCAGTGACGTAGTAACTACATTATCAGTGGCATAGTAAGTACATTATCAGTGGCATAGTAACTACATTATCAGTGGCATAGTAACTACATTGTCAGTGACGTAGTAACTACATTGTCAGTGATGTAGTAACTACATTATCAGTGGTGTAGTAACTACATTATCAGTGGTGTAGTAACTACATTATCAGTGGCATAATAACTACATTATCAGTGGCGTAGTAACTACATTATCAGTGACGTTGTAACTACATTGTCAGTGACGTAGTGACTACATTATCAGTGACGTAGTGACTACATTGTCAGTGACGTAGTGACTACATTATCAGTGACGTAGTGACTACATTGTCAGTAACGTAGTGACTACATTGTCAGTGACGTAGTAACTACATTGTCAGTGACGTGGTGACTACATTGTTAGTGACGTAGTGACTACATTGTCAGTGACGTAGTGACTACATTATCAGTGACGTAGTGACTACATTGTCAGTGACGTAGTGACTACATTGTCAGTGACGTAGTGACTACATTGTCAGTGACGTAGTGACTACATTGTCAGTGACATGGTGACTACATTGTCAGTGACGTAGTGACTACATTATCAGTGACATAGTGACTACATTGTCAGTGACGTAGTGACTACATTGTCAGTGACGTAGTGACTACATTGTCAGTGACGTAGTGACTACATTGTCAGTGACGTGGTGACTACATTGTCAGTGACGTAGTGACTACATTATCAGTGACATTGTAACTCCATTGTCAGTGACGTAGTGACTACATTGTCAGTGACGTAGTGACTACATTGTCAGTGACGTAGTGACTACATTGTCAGTGACGTGGTGACTACATTGTCAGTGACGTAGTGACTACATTATCAGTGACATAGTGACTACATTGTCAGTGACGTAGTGACTACATTATCAGTGACGTAGTGACTACATTATCAGTGACGTAGTGACTACATTGTCAGTGACGTAGTGACTACATTGTCAGTGACGTAGTGACTACATTGTCAGCTCAAGGGGTGCGGCAATCGGTGTGATTTGTCTCTCGCATGGTCGCACCCTCGAGGCTATTTCTACATCGCGGCTTCCTCTTGCCCTAATCGCATCGCCGTCACACTGCTGGTCTCGAACATCTTGTATCTTTTCCCACCTGGGGGGGTGGTGGTGGCAAGGCACCCCCTGCCACCCATACTCGTTACGCTACTGGTCCGGTTGAATTTGGAAGGCGTCGAGGGGAGCTACACGGTGGGGGGTTTGCCCAGGGCCTTGCACACACCCCCACCGTCCTCCTATGGACGATCCTAACCACGAGCGTATGAAGCAAAAAGGCACACCAACCCATACCACTTCTACACCATTGTACTCCTCCCTCCATTCCCTATAACTCGGCGGGTCTGCAATCAAAATAAGTAGACGGAAGATATTTTTTTTATCTTTTCGAATTCGTTCAAAGGAAAAACATAAACCCTCAACATTTCAAGAGCTCGCAGCGCAACATGTGAAGAACGTCACGAAGCTGCCCTTAAATACAGAGCTGCCTGCGGCTACCAGAGCCTCAGGTTGGCGACCCCTGTCCTATAACCCGTCCGTATAACCCCACCGTACAACCCCACCGTACAACCCCACCGTACAACCCCACTGTACAACCCCACCGTATAACCCCACCGTCTAACCCCACCGTACAACCCCACCGTATAACCCCACCGTATAACCCCACCGTATAACCCCACCGTATAACCCCACCGTACAACCCCACCGTCTAACCCCACCGTATAACCCCACCGTCTAACCCCACCGTACAACCCCAACGTATAACCCCACCGTACAACCCCACCGTACAACCCCACCGTATAACCCCACCGTATAACCCCACCGTGAACACTTTAACCCAGTGGTTCTTAACCTGGGGGTGCATGCACCCCCTGGGGGTGGCGAGACATGGCCAGATTTATTTATTTATTTTTTGAATGTAAATCAACGAAAACACGAATTAAGCACGGTGCGCTTAAGTTACAAACTTCGTTTCATCAGACCCTACGTCGTTATTAACATTGCAAATTTTGTTTTAACGGGCGGATGGCAGTGCTGTAGTGAAGGTGAAGAACCACCGGTCTAGGACAATGTGCAGTGGCGAGATGAACCTGTGGCGAGCCGACATTCAAATGTCTCGGAGCAACGCTCGGATCGATTCCACTGTGTATCACAAACCTTATTTTATTGATCCTGGGTAGTAAGTGTTATTTCCGAATTGCTTATGCCTCGAAAGTATAGAAAATTGGCTGTTTATTCCCTACCAAACTTTGCTTTTGTGACCGGGGCAGTGATATTTTTTTAATGTACATATTTTCAGTGAGAAAACGTGGTGTGCATTTGTGTCATTCCTTCACGTAAAGTCCTGGCGACAAAAGCAACGTTTGGCAGGGAATAAGCGACCATTCTCTGTAACTTTTTTAGGCATAAGCAATTAAAAAATAACACTTACTACCCAGGGACATTAATAGTGTCACATAGTGAATTCTCATCGGACGCGAGCATCTGATCCTTACGCTCCTCCTCCCTCCTCCTTCACAGCCACTCATTTCGCTGCCTTGCTCTCAAACAGGCTGGTCCATCCTCAGTAAGTTCTTTCGGTGAAGGCACGTAGGTAGAAAAATAAATAAAGACCGATGAGGGGGAAAAAAAAAACCTCTCCGATTCCGCGTTTCGTGTCAACACGATCGCTGCAGTCAAACCCTCACCCGGAAAAAAACTCGGGCACTGTCGTCAAACTCATCCGTTGTATCGCGCTACCCTCGTTAACCGTTACCCTCGTTAACCGTTACCCATTGTTAACCGTTCCCATTGTTAACCGTTCCCATTGTTAACCGTTCCCATTGTTAACCGTTCCCATTGTTAACCGTGCCCATTGTTAATCGTCGCGGCTGAGTTCAGACCTGGACAAGACCCCGACAGAGCGGCCTGATTCCAGGGACCATCTCTGGGTGCACGCACGCGCATCCATTCTGGAATCGCCGCTCTAAGCTCTGCTGCTTGGCGTTGAGAATTACCGGCGTAAGGCACCACCACTAGACCACAAAGCCGGGGCTACGAGCAATCCACAGTAACCCTATCTTACCGGTGTCGGTTGCCGTTGCTCCGCACCTACATCAGCCGTACGAAAGACGAGCGATATTGTGATTCTATGCCCCTGTATCACTCTCATGCTAAGAACATATTTAATTTTGACGGAAAAAGCAGGTACATCGACTCACCTGTGCTCGCTGATGTCAGTTTCTCACTCGGGAGTATCTTTCTGGTGTCAGTTTCTCACTCGGGAGTATCTTTCTGGTGTCAGTTTCTCACTCGGGAGTATCTTGCTGGGACAACCTTCGGAAGCGTTCCGGCTGAAATTAAGAACCAGAATTTGTATTTAATACGGGGGGGGGTGGGGATGGGGGGGGGGAGAAGGAATCCGATGAGCTATAAAGCTCTTCTCCTTTAACAGGCGTCCACGCTTCAGCACAGCAGCGCCCTTACCTCGTCGGTGCACTGCTGCGTCTCGTTCCCTTCCTTCTTCAACCTCTGGCTCGAGACGCTGTGGCTGGGCTCCAACTCGGGGCTGAGTTATTTAAACCCAACCCACACCCCCACTCCTATCCCCCTACCCCCCTACCCCCCCGTGTGTGTGGTGTGCGCGTTGTGTGACAATGCCTGTGGGCATGGGAGTACACTCCGGACCGCACCACTGTCGCACGAGCCGACAGGGGTCCTGGGGTTACGCGGAACTGAATCGCCACTTGGACTGGTCCGGTTCTCTCGTGTCTCGCTCGTGGACCTCCTGAGAGAGAGTCTCGAGGCTCGCACCCATCAGCGAGTCATCTTCGCCGGGGCACAAACAAACAAAAAGAGACAAAGCCGAGCAATTTCGTGGCTTGAGGTCTGCTGCGACACCTTTAAGTCTGCACGCGTCCGATCTTGCTACGCTGCGCAACGAACCACGGCGAACCCGAGGTTCGAATCCCGCTCACGGCCAACGCTGGCGGCGATGATTTATCCGGACCGGTCCTGGGTCACCCCCCCCCCCCCCAAACTCCCACTCCCTAGGTCGACTCAGCCTCGAATGAGCGCCTGGTGCTGGTGTGTAGTAAACATCGTGGCTGGGGAGACAAAGGCGGCCGGGCGAGGTGCCGTTCACACCATCCCCTCGTGTGCCCGTTGCCAGCAATCAGAAGTTGCGAGCTCGTTAACAGCACTTGCCCGGAACAGTCTGTTCGGGGCTACACGGGGGGATCTTTGTCTTTGTTAAATAAACACCATCAACGGGAAGACCTAACACGATGATTCACATGCCCACCCCCCGGTATACCCTTTTAAAGGCTGTTGGGAGCGAGTGCTGTTAGCGAGCACCTATTAAGGTAGGCGTGGGGCACGGTGCTGTTGTGGTCGGTGCTGATCACGATTTTACTCCAACCTCGCTCCGAAGTGCCGCACTCATTTGCGCGTTTTATTTTGAGCTGATGTAACTCTGCCACTGATGTTAGCCGTCGCTGGGAGGCGCCGGGTCTTTATTAGACGTGAGAACGGGTGCTCATTTCAGGCTGAGTCGACCTAGGGGGGCGGGCATGGGTTGGGGGGGGGGAGGGCAAGTGCTGTTAAACTAAAACGAAACCATTTTTTTTTATTTCACCAGGGGTTTATTTTGCATAAGCCACCGTGGCCATGACGAATCGTAGCCCAACGTCATCACCATCATCACCATCATCACGTGAACATTCATTAGGAGTCGCCAAATACTTCGAAACGCATCAAAATCTACACGTCAGCGGGCAACTGGTCAAAAAAAGTATTCGGTGATAATCGTCACTGCCGTTGTCCGTGAGCGGGACTCGAACTTAAGTTAGGGGAGGGCCACGGTGATTTGCGATCCACGTGTCGGCTATACAGAAAGCAAAGGGACAAGTAAATAGCTTACAGTCGTGGAAGAATTTTCGGTAATTATTTACGAATCTCGACCACTCCACTGTCAGCAAAGTACAGCAAAAAAATGTACTGTTGTACTGTACTATGCACCAACGTCTACGCTCCCCTCCTTCGCCAACCCGCAGCTAGCCAGCCGTGGTGAAGTATGGTCAAACCTCCCCCCCCCCCGCATGATCCACATTGCGTGGGGAAGTCTTCATCCAGCAGTGGAGTAACAGAGCGGCTGTCTCTCTCTCTCTCAGGTGCAGTTTTTATTTCCCAGATTCATTCAAGAACCCCCAGTGGGTTCCAGATGTTGAAGGAAGCAAAAAAATAGCTAAAGGTGGGAGGCTTCATTCGCTATCTTCCACGGTGTCTTTACGTTAGCGATCAACGTCGCCAGAGACAAGATCATTCACCTAATATTCAATGTCTAGTTTTCTCATTCGCAGTTCCAACGAAATCTACATTTGCCGTTCTCTTAATTTATCCCGTGAATTTTACTTTTGTACCTGCCACCCCAATGTATATATATACTCACGTTACTCACTTTATCGGTAAGTTTTTTTTGTAAACACCCTTCATGAAAAAAAACACTTTTTTTACAAGAGTGACTAAGTTATTAATTTACCCTGGGTGATATTTGTTTTCTCGTGCCGTGTAATTAATCATTCCTCATTTCAGCGTGGGGGTAGGAGGAGGAAGGGGTGGGGAGGTTTTCCCAATTCCTCCGTCTTGAAATGGTCACACAAATTTACCGCTCAGCCTTGGGAGCTATGGCCACGTGAGTTCGATTCCGGACCACGGCGAACATCTGAACCGGTCCTGACCTGTCCGCCCTCACCCCACCCCCTGCCCTCCCTCCACCGCCTAGGTCAACTCAGCCTTAAAAGGAGAACCTGGTGGGGTGTGTAACCATCAGCACTGGTCGGGAGAGACAAAGGCGGCCGATCCTGCCCTACCCTGCCACGCCTCCACCCAAATTGTCACCGACCAACGCGGTGAAGCATAACAACAACAAAACAACAAATGTAGTAATAGCAGTAATTATAATAATCATCTTTAAAATATCAACTCGCTCCTGCTTTTGCGTACGGTGCAATGCTGCTTGCAGAGCAACGTCTTTGATTCTACATTGAGGTGGCTGAGCCATCTTCATCATCATCACATCATCCCTGCGGGGTCCGGTAAAATGGGTACTCCATGGCTGATGCTTTCACCACTGGGTGATACGTCGGTAAGTACTTTGTCGTTAATGTCTCGTTGATGGACCTCAGTTTAGATACTGGTCCCTGCCATAAGAACGTGGACATTACGCAACCAGTTCAGGAAAGCCCAACTAACGTGGGACGTGCACCAGCAAAAGACAAAGATCACCCGTATAGCCTTAACAGACCGTAGGGGGCAAGTGCTGTGAGCGAGCAGCAACACCTATGAAGGCCGGCACGGCACACGAGGGGGTGGGTAGTCAGCACCACGCCTGGCCGCCTTTGTCCCCCCAGTAGCGATGTTTACAGACCGCATTTGAGGCTAAGTCGACCAAGGGGTGAAGGGTGACGCCCACCAGCCAGCTACCATCACCACCACCCAGCCACCATCTAGAATACGCCAGCGATGGGCGTGCGTGCGTGCGCGCATGTGTGTGTGTGTAAGGGGGTGTCACATTGGGGAGCGGTAGTGTAGCGGTTAGCGCGCTGCGCTATGAACCTGGCGACCCGGGTTCGATTCCCGCTCACGGCCAACACCAGTGACGATTATCTGAACCGGTCCTGGGCCTCCCCTAGGTCGACTCAGCCTCAAATGAGTACCTGGTGCGGTGTGTAAACATCGCCACTGGGGAGACTAAAGGCGGTCGGGCGTGGTGCTGGCCACCCACCCCCTCGTGTACCGTTCCGGCCTTCATAGGTGCTCGCTAACAGCACTTGCCCCTACACTCTGTTAAGGCAAAACGGGGGATCTTTATCTTTGTCATATTTCGCAGGGGTGTGCCTGCCTCAAAGCGAGCTGGCTCCGAATAACCAGTCAGACCTGACACACACACAAGAAGCAGCACCCCCCACTCGGCCTCCCACCACCACCCCACCCGTCTCCTCCTCTTAGCTGCCCGCGCGAAGGGGAATCACATTCCCTGTCCGCATTTATTTGTACGAGCAAAAACACGGTGTGTTAAATAGACTCGTGGCGTGAACTCGCCTCGCGATTACACAGCCCTCTGTGTCACTTTCACACGCGGGGCCGACTCGAATTACCAACTTTTGCAGTTCGAAGCCGCAGTTGCGATAACTATTGTGCCACCCAGCCACCAACTAACACCCACGTACCCATCCAGCCAGCCACCGACTAACCCACCCACCTACCGACTAACCCACTCACCCAGCCATCCACCCACCGACTAACCCACTCACCCAGCCACCCACCTACCGACTAACCCACCCACCTACCGACTAACCCACCGACTAAACCAACCACTCACACAACCATCCACCCACCCACTAACCCACTCACCCAGCCACCCACCTACCGACTAACCCACCCACCTACCGACTAACCCACCCACCTACCGACTAAACCACCCACCTACCGACTAACCCACCCACCTACCGACTAACCCACCCACCTACCGACTAACCCACTGACCCAGCCACCCACCCACCCACCGCCTAACCTACTCACACAACCATCCACCCACCGACTAACCCACTCACCCAGCCACCCACCTACCGACTAACCCACCCACCCACCTACTAACTCACTCACCCAGCCAACCACCTACCGACAAACCCACCCACCTACCGACTAACCCACCCACCTACCGACTAACCCACCCACCCACCGACTACCCACTCACCCAGTCACCCACCAACTAACCCACTCACCCACCCACCGACTAACCCACTCACCTACCGACTAACTCACCCACCGACCGACCAACCCACCCACCTACCGACTAACTCACCCACCGACCGACCAACCCACTGACCCAGCCATCCACCCACCGACTAACCCACCCAGCCAGCCACCCACCTACCGACTAACCCACCCACCGACTAAACCAACCACTCACCCAGCCACCCACCCACCGACTAGCCCACCCACTCACCCAGCCACCCACCGGCTAGCCCACCCACTTACCGACTAGCCCACCCACTCAACCACTAACCCACCCACCCCCCGACTAACCCACCCACTAACCCATCCACCCACCGACTAACCCACCCACTCACCCACTCATTTACCCACCCACCGATTTACCTCCGCATTGTAATTTCTTTGCTCTACTCGCGTATAAGATGCCCACGGTTCTAAATAAAACATGTTTTTTAAAGGTTTAACTTCACATTTAACGCCGCACCCAAATGCCAAGAATGTCCTCCCTTGGGGCGAACATATCTGGTGTGAGATGTTAAAGCGACAATTATAATAATATTTCATTTTAATATTGCCATTCATTTATCCAGAAAAGCGTCTCTGAGCCTCAAGATTTTTATTTTCCCGGAGGGTGCTGATACATTCTGTTCGCCGCCATGCTGTGTTCACTTCCTGAAGAAGGTCCCGGCACCAGTGGGAGCGAAACGTCGGACATCGTGCCGGACCTCACGCTGCACTTCTTGCGGAATGATGGCAGAGGCAGCAAGATGGTCAGGAGCTTGATGGCAATGTGGGACATCTGTGGAAAAGAG